AGACAGATGCTCGTCATTTCCTGGCTACATACCAGATGCGCCACTCGAGAACTGTTCTCTCTACCCCAGGGCCAAATTCGCTGCGTGTCCTGTGTCCATGCTAGCTGCGTTTCCATCGTGTTTCCGCTGCGTTTCCGTGGCCAGGGGACCCTCCCCTCCCCTCCGGTGCAGGGCAGCTGGCGACCGGGGCAGTAATGACCAGTTATGACCGCGACTCGACCGTTTACCAGAGCCGTCAGCGGGCGAACGCGAGGGGGGTGGACAGCGGCCGGGGGGGGGGGGGGGGGCGTGGGCGGCAGCTGGCCGTGCAGAGGGCACGGAGGGCCACACATTCGGATCGTGTACAAACCATTCGGCCAGGCCGCTGGATGTTAGTCTGCACGCCAGGATATAGAGAGACACCATCCAACTTACATGACATGGACGCCGTGTGGCGGCAGTGACTGCGTGGGCGGCTGGCGGGGGCGGGGGCGGGGGCGGTGGCGACCACAGGCGCAGCTTGCTGCGGTCCGCGACTGAGTCAGACCCTCGTGAGGCGTTCTACCGCGTGGGCGGCGGTAGAACGCGACTCATGCAGCCGCTGCCTACGGTCGGCGGCTGGTGTGAGACGGTAGAGATTGCGCTGCAACCTCAGAGTTTGGATAATTCATACCTGGAACTGATAGGTAATTCATGTCATTCAAATGGTATACAGTGACTAATGTTTGAGATGCTCGTGACATTACATCGTACGGTAGACGATAGGTTCGGTTAAAAGAATACTTTTTTGCTGGTCTCTCGCTTTTTCCTTGACGAATTAGCTATTCTTATTCTGTGTGATTTTGTCTGAAAACATTCTCGTCATTCTGTTCTCTCGCCCACCTCCTCCATTCGGCGTGTCAAGTCCGGTGCGTGGGCGTCTGAAGGGCCCGGGCCGTGACGGTGAAAATGTCCCTGCCGCCGTGTCAGACACCCGTCGCCCCGACTGTAGTCACGACATGTCCGTCACCGGCCCCAGGCGGGATGTGTCAGCTGGTTGAGTGCGCGGATTGGGAGGAGGCTCAGACATTGCTCGGGGTTACATGAGCAGAGTTAATACGCATTACAAACGGACTACAATGGTGAGCGAATAGGAAAATCCGTTCCTGATACGCATTTACTTGCTCATGTAACCCCGGTAACTTCTGCTCCTCCACTAAAATACGTGCCAGTTTTCGATTCAGTGACAGATTGAATATATGGGTCATTAGACGTGGTTAATCAATCGATGCTCTTTTTTTTACCTACGTGCAGAAAGCTGTTTCTGTAAAAAAAACATCATTTTATTTTGTTGGCATTACATCATTTGTGATATATTGCCATGTCAGAAGACTGACATTTCGTCAAGCACTGACAGTGTGGCACTGTATTCTGTCAGGCGGCATTTTTTAATCGCCCGATATGTTGAGGAAAACTGGCTTGTTATGCGTTTCGGCGCGCATCCCGGCCATCCGTATGGACACGTAACAATGTGTTGTATCCGGGTAGGCACATTCCGAACAGGACTACGTCCTTGCAAAGTATATATTCACAGCGCGTAAGACAGCAAGAACAGATGTGTTTCCGGCTGGTAAAGGAAAAACTCCGAGAACATTTCCTAAATGACCCAGGCACACTTGATTTACAACCTGCTAGACATTCTGTTCACCACCAACTTAAAGAGAGCGATTGCTAATTTTCCGCCTGTTTCTCTTTTTCTCTTACCGAAGGAGGATACTTGACAGCAGCGAACTGCACCATTCTGCCGTCAACATATGCCTGTCTTCACAATGTGCGATATTTTTGTGGGATGAGAACTCACTTTGTGGTCAACGAGGCGCGTCATATGTTCGTATGTATGCCGCTGACGAGGGTCGGGTCAGGCAGGTCACGGTTGTCGCTGACCTGCGCCCCATCCCCCCGCCGCCGCGGCCGACTGCGTCTCACCCAAGGTCAGAGGGCGGTCCCTGTCGCCCGGGGCAGCTGTCAGAAATGCTCGCGGCCCATGACATTTCGGGGAAATTGTGGCCGCCTTCAAGGACGCCGCTCGGGAGCTGTTTCGGGAACTATAGGAGCTGGTTTGATGATGGATGATTCCTACGTGGGAGCGAAGTTTTTTTTTAGATCTGCGGGCCAGCCCCCGAGGTTAAGATGTGGTCGGCCTGAGGCTTTGTATTCTGTTTGACTGAAATACTTCTGGTTACTTAGTAGAATTTATGAAATGTGTGCAATTACCTTTTAAATCATCACTAGAATACGCTGGCAATGGCAACACAGCACGTTTTCTGATTGGGTTTGGCCTGGCTCTAAGTTATGTAACTAGCCCGCGATACCATCCGCCGAATGTATAGTAATCTGCCTGTCGGTCGCTAAACCCCGTCGAGGTATTATTGCCAAAGTCTGGGTTCGAGACTGACATCGTGCTCGATGTTTCCCTGCTGTCTCGGCCGGTAACTGCTGTCGCTGCCAGTTTCTGCCACGGCCGGTGACGACGTCATTAGCGGCAGCGACAGCAGGCACCGCCTCGACAGTTCGCGGAAAAACTGGAACTTTTGCCAGCAGGTGGCCAATGTCCAACAGTGACCGGAGGGGGGGGGGGGCTGGCACAGGAGCGATGGGTTTCTCAGAACCCGCTGATGGGAGGGCTGAGCTGGCAGCGGTCCGGGATAGGTCACTCCGGAACTGACGATCACGTAGCGGACACAAACTCAGCGGAGCGGAAACTGTCACTATATTCCGCACTATTTAGACTCAGGAGTCACTTATACAATAATTTTCTTCCACGGGATTGTCCACTGGTTGTTCCAGAATGTGTTGTTGGGGCTTATGTAAGCCACCTCATATCGCATTGAGCTGACTTTTGCCCGTCGTCCGCCCATCGCTCATTTCTCTCGCTCAGTGTTATTTCCGCCGTGGTGTTAGCGTCGTGGTCAATATCGCAGTCTCCGTCTGCGCCTAGCCGCTATCGAATGGCGGGCTCGGGGACATTCGCGATCGGACGCCACTGAACGCGATGGACGGTGAATGGTGGAGACTGACACGGTGGTAGCTGGTGGGTGGTTATAGTGTTGATGTTTAAAGCAGCTTGAGGTAGGAGGTGGGGGGGGGGGGGGGGGGGCGGCGATAGTCTGTCTGTCCTGACCTCGGGTTGCCGGGTTTGATGGATCGTACACGGAGATGGATGGACCGCTCCTCTCCCTCTCCGTCTGACCGTGAACCGCGGGCCCACCGCCGCGCCGACCGACGGGCCGACAGTGACCTTCGTGAACTGGTCACGAGGGTCTGTTCAGCCGCCGGGAGCCCAGGAAATGCTCCGGCCTGGGGGCGGGCGCAGGGCTGACGCAGACGGAGGTCAGGGCTCGCTCAGTACGGTAACCCCATCTGATTGGTACGTAACAAGACAAATATTTTCAGTCCGTAATCCCAAAAGCTCGGGATCAATCCTTGTGCAGCTTTTGTTTTTACAGCTGTGAATGGGCGATGGCTTCGATACCATTTGACACCATATTTTGATACCATACCTATATTTGATAACCCTCGTGTACACTGTACAATACTCGGTTGAGAACGTTATGAAATACGAGGACCCTTGTGTCCCTTCATTCGCCGTCGGTATCAGCAGATTCTCTCCGGCCCGTTCGGGTCCCTCCCATGTAGCCGGCACGGCAGACAGTTCGATACCCGCTCTCCGGCCCGTTCGGGTCCCTCCCATGTAGCCGGCACGGCAGACAGTTCGATACCGTCTCTCCGGACGGTTCGGGTCCCTTCTGCGTGGTTCGGTACGTCGGACAGACGGGTACACCTGTCCCCCGCCGCCGCACCGGCCACCACCTGACGGGCGCGGCCGACCCCGGGCTCGGCCGAGGAGGCAGGCAGCACTCCCAGGGGCAGGGGCGGAGACAGGCAGCGCGCACCTGGGCGGCACGGCCGACCCCGGGCTCAGCCGGGGAGGCAGGGAGGCAGGGAGCACTCCCAGGGGCAGCGGCGGAGACAGGCAGCGCGCACCTGGGGGGCACGGCCGACCCCGGGCTCAGCCGGGTAGGCAGGGAGGTGGAGATGATTAGCTGCTATCTTCTGCCGCTTACAGCCGTCGCGTTTCTATAGGTCGGTACGACCTACGAGTCAAATATATCGCCAGTTCAGCTCACCGTACACAAAAATTACGCGCATCACATCGTTCGCCACGCATTGCATTTGCGACACTCGCTCAGTTCCGAATTCCGTCAAATCTACTGTTTGCGGCCCGCCCCCACAGTCTCGCGCGCTTCGAGCCACCCGCGGGGCGTGGACGCGTGGAGGTGATTCGACCGGCGGCCGCCAGGGGCGCCACCGTCGCGAGTGACGTCACCCGGCGCCGCCGCCGCCCGGCTGCCGCCGCCGCCGCCGCCGCCGCCGCCCAGTGCAACACTCCGGCGGGGACCCGCGAGAGCTCTCGGTCCGGCGCGAACTGTCGAAACCGACGCTTGGGGCAAAGCGTCGGCTTCGCGGCGAGCAGTGTGGTGTTGTGTCGGCGATCCGACAGCGATCCACTGCGGTGGTTTGTGTGAGTGTGTGTGTGTGTGTGACGGTGCAGAGTGAGACGGTTGTTGTTTGTGTTTGGGTGCCACGAGTTGGGCGAAAATCTGCCATCGGACTCGATCGTTCGGAGGTGCGGTTGTGAGGGGCGCTCGCTCGGACGACCAGCCTGTGGCGGGCTCAGTGGTGACCCTTGGTGACCTGTGGTGACCCAGTGGTGCTGTGTGGTGCTGTGTGGTGGTGCCGAGACCCGCCCGGGCGCGGCTGACTCTGGACTGCCCCCTCTGGCCCCTCCGAGACTGTCAGTGCTGTGAGCGCTTCGTGTGCCGAGCGCGGCGCTAGTCGCCCGCTCCCCACCCGTGGACACCCTCCCCTCCCCCCCCCCCGCCGCCGCCGGCTCGGGGCGATGGCGCCCCGCCCGGCCGTGGCGCCGGCGCTGCCGGTGACCCCCAGTGACCCGCCGGTGACCCGCCGTGACCCGTGCGCAGGCAACACGCTGGCGCGCGGCCTGCAGGCCATCCACCGTGACGACATCGTGACGGCGTGTATCACCGACTCCGTGATGGTGACGGACGCCATGGAGGCCGCCATGGCCAAGGCCCGGCTCGACCAGTCAGGTGGGTGCCGAGAACCGGGGACGGCGGGTTCGAATCCCGACCGGGGACGGAGGTTAGAATCCCGGGAGCCGTGGGTATATTTGGGTTTCGTTTGGATGAGACGCCTGGAAATATATGAGCTGCAAGTGCATAATGCATATCCCTAACGAAGAAAACCTTGCAGTATATCATTTCTAAGTGGCGCTTTCGTTTCAAACATGTAAAGAGATATCAGTTAACCGATTAACTTTTTCACGAGAATGGGATTGTGGCAAAACCGCGTTATACCCTCCCAAATTATCCCCGCCCACTTCAATGACAACAAAAACAGACCTCCTATTGTCACGTCATAATTATGCACCAGTCCGGAACAGTCCCGGCCCGCGGTCCGGAACAGTCGGGCCTGCCCCCAGTTGCGCAGTTGAAGCCATTCATGTCGGCGTCAGGCACATTCCTTTGCCGTGCCCGTCCGGTACACACGCCCGTGCCGCCGCGGCGTACCCCTTCCAGGAACGGCGCGCTATGTAGTGATGTGGCAGGTAAACCGGCGCCTCTGGCCGGGGCGGCGCGGCGCGGCCGTTTGTTTTGTTGTGCCGAGCAGAGGGGAGGGGAGGGGGCAGAGGGGCGGACGCCGGGCGCCTCACGCCATCCGAACCTGTCCGGCTCGGACACGAAAAGTGGCGGTCTGGTGGCGGCCCGCCTGTTCGGCTTCCGGCGATAACACAGCCCGCCGTGTCCAGTATTATGCCGAAAGTAGACGGGGTCATCCACCTCTGTGAACTCGCCGCCCACTTCGTAGGGTTTCGCAATTTCTATGAGAAGGTTCTTCGGCACAGGAAGACCCTTGTGGTACCGAAACTAGTTACAGCCCAGACCTATGAGATCCAGATAAGAAACCGTTTCAAAAATGGGCGTGACCCTTCTTTTCTACAAGACAGGTCACTGCATGCGGTGACACCATAAGACAGTGCCTGTGACCCTAACTGGGCGTGGCCCTGCCCCTGCCACTGCCCTTGCCGCCGCGCCGGCTCACTTTGGGGTCACTGCAATATGGCGCCAGTGACCCTCTTTGGGCGTGGCCCTGCCCTTGCCGCCGCGTCGGGTCACTGTGGTCACTGCAACATGGCGGCCGCTGCAGCAGCCATAACGCTGCAGCTATATAGCGGGTCGGTCAGTAGTCATTGTTTGGGGCACTGGTTGCATGACGAGCGGGGTATAATGGGCCGTAAACGGACGGGGCGGAGTGCCGAACGGGTGCTGGGGCCGACGGGACGGGCGGGGAGAGGAGGGGGACTCAGACTGGGCGGGGGCGGGGGTCTGGGCGTGACGTTTTTGACAGAAACCTCGCAATATTCTGGAAGCGAAAACAAGAATTAGACATTTCAGGCTTCTGGCAGTCATTCATTGATGCACGAGCTAGAAACGTTCGGATTGGAGCATAAGTATACAGTACACACGAGTCATAAGTGCGCGACTGTTGTCATTGATTTCGAATGCCCGGCCGATAAAAGTGCCGTCCTTGAATTGAGGACACCTTCATTGAAGTGGTTATTGACAGCCCGTCTTCACTCAGGGCACGGGAAGAAGGGGCTGATCTCTAGGAGGTTCGCCACTGGAGCCGACTGGGGCGGGTTCTGGCCGACTCCCCAGGACCGTCTGACCCTCCCATCCCCGCCTTATTCCTCCCCTCCCGCCCCGCCCCCTGCGTGCCTTTCCGGTCCGCCGGCCAAACAACATGACGTCGCTCTGAAGATGCGGAACAGGCGGACACTGTTCGAACTCCCTGGTGAGGGGAGTGAGAGAGGAGGGGGGAAGGGAGGGCAGGGAACCGGACACCGGGGTTCCTGGAAACTCTTGGACAAGAAGGTGGTGCCTCTAAAGGGCTACTTTGATTATTTGATCAAGCATTAGAGCAGTAATGCCCATGGATAACTGAGTTACAGCTGTCTACACTGTAAAAAATGCTAACAAACCAGTTAGTTAATTCTTCAAGCAAAATCTAGTATTAAAACACACGTTGTTGCAAAAAACGGGTCAGATAACACATATGTTTGCAACCTAACACCACATCCATTTCATCGAAGCAGAAAAGCTAACATCATTGTAAGCCGACAAATATTATCCGTGCAAACCATGCCGTGTTATTTGACAAACATGTTTGTTTATGCTTCCTTTGCCTTTTTTTCTGGATAACGTGTTAACTAACAAATCAAACGCATGTTGTAACTCACAATCTTAGTTTTCTTACTACCCTTTTTGTTGTAGCATTACAAAGACCTTAGTTAATTGAAAAAAATCGCCATTTTGTGCGCCCCTCTGCGCCCGCCATGTTCACTGTTCAGTCTGTGCCAAGTCAGAGAAGGGAGAGGACGTGTGCGTTGTGAAGGAGCTGAGCTGTGGCGTATAAGTGTTGCGTGTGCAGTATTATATAAGGAGCTGAAGTGGTGTTAAGAATAAGAATAATAAGAAGTCAAACAGTGAAATGATATGGACTGTTGGACATGGCTTTCATCCTTACTGGTATGGTGAGTGATTATGGGAAAGATCAGTGCAGATATTGCTGGCGTTTTAGTGTGGTTTATGTACCTATGTCACTCATTTTCTTTTCAATTGAACCTCCAACCAGGCTTTAGAGGGTCTCAGGTTGGAGACACTGTTCATTTGTTGACTGTCAATTGACGTCTATAAGTACATATGACGGACTGAATTCAATGAGCATGTTGCACACTAAAACCGCATTAAGCTTTGAACAAGAAATTAAATGTACCTAATTTTTGGTTGGGCGCTCAACCAGTGAACGCGGTGAGGTGCTGTTTTATGCAATTCCTGTCACTGCAACCAGTTGTCAAATAAGATTTTTGTAGACACATGAGCCACCATTGTTCGGTCAGGGAATTTTTGCCCTTTTGTTGCAATTTAGTTTACCCATATCGACAGAAATGAAGCATTCTCAATGTTTTCGTGATACGTATTTGGAGCCTGTATGGTGTCATGGCTGGTGCGGATTCCTGCAGGCTGTTTATAGTTGCAGGTGTGAATCAGTGCAGATTTGTCACCACGACCGATGCAGATTACCGACTGATTTATGACGTTGGTTGGCATGAGGTTGGTTGCGTTGCTTTATTCGTTGGTTTGAATAAACATCTTTGTGTTTAAATACTCGTCTGTTTGATACTTTTTTAAATAAAAATTTCGACGCGTGTCGCAACACGGTGTGTGAAAACGCACAACATGTATATATACTGTAAAACATATTTGCACGTTTCGAGTCATCCTGGCAAATCTCACTAACCAAATGCGTGAAAACTTTGTATTTACACACTGCATCCCGAAGTTTATAACGCATTTGGCTAATGATATTTGCCTGGATAACATGTGCACGTTGTGCAAATCTCGGCAGAAGCTTGTGAAGCTTACTCACATTTTGCGTGTAAGCGTGTTTTCTTCTGTGTGTGTGTTATGTAACACCGAAGTTAGTTATCCTGCAACTAGGCGATGCCTAGTTGCATGATAACTAACTTCGGTGTTACATAACACGCACAAAAGGAAACACGCTTACACGCAAAATGCTAGTAAGCTTCACACGCTTTTGCCTAGTGAGATTTGCCAGGATAACTAACTTTTTAGTTACTTTACACGCATAATATTAGTACATTGACAGGTAGATATTAGTTAAGTAACACGGTCACACGCAAAAGGCGTGTATGTCAACACCACGTCGAAAACTAATGTCTTAGTTTCATAACACGTTTTTTCTTAAAAGCGTGTTATATAAAACACGTTTGACCAGTAGATGCGTGTAAACTTTACACGCTTTAGGTTAGTGAGATTTGCCATGATAACACGGAAGTTAGTTAACATTTTTTACAGTGTAGTTTGATGTCACAGCAAGCTGCCCGATTACCACTCGAGCCACGACAGCCTGGGCTACTTGTGTGGTCAGTAGGCCACTCTGTGCTTCCCTCCTTGTATCTCTCCCCTGCGAGTGCCGCCACATTCCGCGCTCCCCTCCCCTCCCATCCCCTCCCCTCCCCGGAGCGTCACATGTCCCCGCCACCTGTCTCCGACCCCTCCCCTCCCCTCTGTGCCTGGAATTCCATTCACACGGTCCGACATTGCATCGACAACAGCCTACATTAACTGCCTATACCCAACCCCGGTGAGCGGTGGTCAGCACATCCCAGAGGGTAGAGAGAGGCACCGTTAGATCGACCTCCCGGCCCGCGGCCGAACCATCGGGCCCGGACCAATCGGCGGAACGAACAATCGGGCCTGGCCAATCTGTGGCGCGGCCCCGGCTCCAAACCCTTGGATTCCGGCCGTCTGAGCCCGACTCTGGCTTGGGTGTGATCAACGCCCTATATACCGGTGTGATACTGCCGTCATGGTCAAGACAGGTTACGTAACACCAGCGCCGGCTTCAATGATTCATCCATCCATCCATCCATCCAGCCCAGCGATACGATAACTTTTCAGTTTGTGTGATTCGTTCATCGACCGTTCCCCTTCCGTCCGTCACCATCACAAGAAAGCTCTCCCCTCATGCTCTTCAATCTCACATCCTCTCGCCGCGCCGGCAGCCGGCGTCCCCCCCCCCCCCCCCAGTGGAGGCGCCGCGCGCGCGTCGCTTCGTTTCAAGGTCATGGGGGCGGCGGCCCATCTCTCAGTACAGATGCACTCGGCTCCGCTTCAGGCGGAGCGGCTCGGCGCCCAAACTCTCTCCGCGTTGCCAGAAAAGCATGGGGCAAGCGTCGGCAACAAATTGGATAGTTACCTACCTATCAATATTCCAATTGCTTTTTCCATTTCACACGCTCTCGCCCAGTTTATTTGATGGGCGTTGTCGAAGCAAGGATTTGCAAATAATCAAAAACAAACTTAAGGTTCAATAAAAAAAAATGCCAGAAGATTGCTGGGCGAAAATTTAAAGGACAAAGTGGGAGCATGAACTACCACAAGGCTTTCCACTGCTGACTACGCATACTAACTTAAACATAAATTTTCCAGCGTAATTTCTCCGT